GGACCACGTGTCAGGGGCAGAAAATGGCCGCGGACCACGTGTCAGGGGCGGGAAAATGGCCACGGACCGTGTCACGGGAGGGAAAATGGACGTGTATCCTCCCCGAGGGGGAGTTCACAAATCGAGGTAAATTTTTGCGGCCGGAGCTGGTCGTAACCCGAAAAGTTCGTTAACAGAGGCATTCGTAACCCGAGGTACCACTGTAAATCTTCTTTTACAGTTGGTGACTTAGCATCCAAATCTGCTGTTTCTTCTTGTTATTCTGAAAGTATTACTCATACCTAAGCAAGCCAAACTTTTTAAAAGCTGGTATCAAGGACAGCATGCTCACTACTAGATCTGTAATGTTTACAGCAGTGTTTCTCAACCTTGGCAACTTTAAGATGTGTGGACTTCAACTCCCAGAATTTCCCAGCTAGCAAGCTGGCTGGGAAATTCTGGGAATTGAAGTCCATACATCTTAAAGTTGCCAAGGTTGAGAAACTGGTTTAGAGGAAAGTAAAATAGATTGTTCTGGGTCTGGACTTAATTAAAGGTGTTTCTCTCTTTCTGAAGCTCCAAGTTACTGGTACTTTATTTAATTCCATTTATATGCTGTCTGATCCGAGCTGATTCTGAGTGGTTCACAGATAATAACATAAAAACCAATACAAACCAAAAATAAGATGGGATGCCAGCACAATATACAAACAAAACAGAAAGAACAAACACACCCAACAGGTCCCATCCATCTCACCCCAAGGCCTCAAAGAACAATCAGGGCTTCAAGGCTTCACACATCTACAGTAATTTTCATCTTTTAGAGAGAGAGCATATGCTTGGACCAATAGTCACTGAGCAACTATGTGTGCATGGTTACAGAGTAAAGATGTTACATGCTCCAGCCAGAGCTTCATTGCAGCTCTGAAAGTTTTTGTTATATGAATCCTGCCTGATGAATCTTCAGGAAAGAGTATTATGAAACTGCATTAAAAAAATTCCTAGAGTGACAGCTATGTGGCTTCAGTCAACGTGGATGTTTGATCAGCATCAACTTTTCATCTGGTTTTGATTTTATGGCAAGTTGATACATTGTTTTGTAAAGTGATGGATGGCAGGCATTCAATGCATACTGATTTTTCTAGATGACCTAGAGACAGAAGCTGAAATGGAGACGCAGTTGAATTGTTTTTACTTAAAAGCTCTTGATGGATTTGTTATGGTTCTCTCTGAAGATGGTGACATGATCTATACATCTGAAAATGTGAACAAGTGTATGGGACTCACTCAGGTATGAAATCAACCATTCTTTTGACTGTGTTTACTATGGTTTATTTCTATTCTTTTATTGGTTATATTTCTAACCATTCCTCTAGGAGCTCAAAACTGTGTGCATAGCCCTCCTGCCTTTAGTTTTTTTCTCACTGCAACAACCCTGTGAGAAAATGACTAGCCTGAAGTTGCTTAATCAGCTTCCATGGCTGACGGTGGATTTGAACCTGGTCAACCTGGTCATAGCCCAATACCTAGGCCAATAAACTGCAATGACACTCACAGATGATAAAAACTATTTTATTTATTTTTATTTTTATTTTTATTTATTTTATTTATTATTAAATTTGTATGCCGCCCATATTAACTTTATTACAGTCAGCCAGCATTTTGTGTGACTATTACAAGAGGTTGCAACTTTCAAATTAAGAAGCATTGACATTTTCTAAAATCAGTAGAAGTAAATAAAATTATTCACTGTAGTGCTATAAATGCAGATAGTAAAATACTAAGGAATCTAAATACTAACTACTAAAACTAATTAAATGGATTATAAAACTACTATGTGAATAAGAAACTAAAATGCTTACTTTATAAGTACCAAGCTGCTAAGCAACTATGTATCTGCGTGTGTGTATGTATCATGTTAGGATAGTAACCAGTGAAATTCAACAGAGGACACAAAACATGAAATATATTTTTTAAAAATGGAATTGTATTTTAGTGGGGTCCTAAAGGTTAAAAGCTTCCTGTGTAGGGTAATGGCAGCTGAAAGAAATTTTGTGGTGCTCCTAAAGATATTAGGGTTCCTATCTAACAGTAAGAAGCAAATGAAATCATTCTCAGAACTGGGGAGACTACTATAAATAAGTAGAGTTATAACAACAGGCCTACATTTCTGTAGAAAGCACATTTAAGAAATAAAAGTGTTAAAGTTTCAGGTTCCTCTAGGTTTGCTCTGCAAAATGGGTAGTATTATACCTTCCCTCCAAAATGGTAGAGTGCAAGATACTAAAGCAGGCTAAGGAAAAAAATTCTCGAGTGCTTTAGGTAGGTAATATTGAATAAATAAGTTGCTGGCATGAAAATGTTCCTATGTATATGTTGCCAGTGTTGATGACTTAATTTGCCCTGCTGTACCTGGCGAGCTGTGCCAAACACTCACTGCCAGATTGCAGCTCTAGCTCTTGGTAACTCCATGGCCAGGAGCTCTGTACCTGAGAAACCACACTGGTGTAAATCACTTTGGATTTTTGCTTTCCAGGAAGAAGAAAATTTAGTAAGAAGATTTTGCCAAACAGGGAGTCACTAGACAGGTGAAGCTTAAGTCACAAATACAACCAGCATGTTTGAGCCCTGGATTTTAGTGAGATCTTCCCAGTTCCTAAATGGGGTGCTGCATCCAAGATGCAGCAAGGTTCTCAGAATAGTGCTCTTAGGAATCTGGAGTGTATTATATTTTAGGGCTTTAAGTTATTGTATGCACACATCTGGGAGCCATATAACATCTGAGAAATAGATTTAGCATTAAAGAGTTTTATGGCTACAAGTATGTTCTTGCCTCCTGTATAAAAGAAGCCCGATATGTTGTTAGCCTTATCAGAAATAGATGTAATTTGTTTGTGCCAGATTCCTGAAGGTTGGAACACTATGCCATAATATTTGAAGGATGAAAACTGGTCTACGAGATTATTGTTTATCTTCCATTAGTGTTGTGGTGTCTCAATCCCTTCAAGAATTCCATCACTTTGGATTTAGAATAGTTTATTGTGAGTCTTTTTCCCTATGGTAATCTGCTAGGGCTTGTAGATTTCTTCTGAGGTCAGCCTGAGTTAGAGAGAGTGTGGCTGCATCATTGGCATAGAGAATTCCTAATGACTTTGAACAAGGTAGTGAACTAGGATTATAACCAGTGTTTTTTCTGTTGTAAATGTACTATGGTAAATGGAGCTTTTTTTTTTTTTTTTTTTGGCAGTTTGAATTGACAGGACACAGTGTGTTTGATTTCACTCATCCGTGTGATCATGAAGAGTTGAGAGAAATGCTCATCCATAGAAATGGTAAGAGAGAAAAGATAGTGGAGAATATATGTATTCAACTTAAGGTTGAATTGCTGGGTTATTAGTGTTCTCTGAGCTTGTTTTTCTTCTTGCCGACATTTCATTATCAGGCTGGGTAACTTCAGTGCATGGGGGAGTGAAATTTGCTAGCTGTTTATATATGGTTGCTTGTCCTATTGGCTCTGATTAGACTATTGTTTCTTCCTTCATTGCTCCTGTTTGTCTGGTGCTAGATACTTCTTGATGAAGTTGCATGGGTATCTATTGCTTTGGAATTTGTTTTATAGATAGTCTATAGTGTCTACCAACACAATCACAACACAACCTGCACAACCCCTGAAAAGGATAACCTTGCCATAGGTCAAAAACATCTCAGAAACTATCAGCAGGTTACTACAACTGCTTGACATAATTGTAGTCCATAAATCAACAAAATGTATCCAAAACATCCTAAGCAAACCCAACAACCAGTGAAGCCAAACAGGAGTCATTTACAGCATACAATGCAAGGACTGTGAAAAACACTACTTAAGGTACGAGATTGGCTTTAATTGGCATCAGTTGGCAGTCGGAAGACATGATAAAAATGCTTTAATTTCACAACACACTGGCAAGTTCAAACACAACTTCGATTGGGAAACTATGGATTTTAGATTAAGCCTGGTACAAAAATGCAAGAGAATTCTAGAAGTTTGGCACTCTGGCAGATCAGCCATTTACAGATAGATTGAGATAAGCTCCATTATAAACCATTCAAAAAAGAAAGTGACCAAAGGTTAAGGGAAGGAGCAAACAGCCCAAGCACATCCTTCATCGTCATTAAACAGCACCTAGATAAGTAGCAACCAGCAGCAGATAAACAGGAACAATCAAGGAAGAAATATTATCCCATTCAAAGGGCAATCAAGAAACAAATAATACTGTATCCAATCAATGCTGGTAGGAGAAGTTACTGTATATAAACAGCCAACAAACCTTACTCCCTCAGGTGTGATGGTGATGATATCTAGCCTGGTAATGAAACATCTGAAAGAAAAAAGCAAATGCAGAGAATACCAAGAAACTCAACAAGAGAGACTCATTCAGGGTTTTGCTTTGAGGCCACATACTCCTTAAGTATGTGCTTGATTAATGTTGTTAAGCAATAAATTATGTTAATTAATTTGTAACAAATCCCCTCCTCAAATACAATCTATGAAATTTTAAATTTGTGTAAATTATAACTTCTATCTTGAGGTGGTTATTGTAGGTGGAATTCTGAGTTGGGATTAAAAATTAAAGTACAGGTAGTCCTCGCTTAATGACCACAATAGGGACCGGAAAATTGGTTGTTAAGCCGGGCAGTTGTTAAGCAAATCAGACCCAATTTTATGACCTTTTTTGCAGTGGTCATTAAGCAAATCACCACAGTTGTTAAGTGAATCATGCAGTCATTCAGCGAATCCAGCTTGCCCCATTGACTTTGCTTTTTGGAAGCCCCATGAGAAGGTCACAAATGGCAATCACATGTCCCTGGAACACTGTAGCTGTCGTAAGTGTGAGCTGGCTGCCAAGGGTCTGAATTTTGATCACGTGACCATGGGGACACTGCAATGGTCATAAGTGCAAGGACCAGTCATAAGTCACTTTAGCACCATTGTAACTTCAAAAGGTCACTAAATGAATGGTTGTTAAGCGAGGACTACCTGTATAAAACACTTTGGGTTTTGCTGGTTGATGTCTGAGATAAAGAAACTTGACTTGAATACTTTGTATTAAGTAGAAATTTTGACACAATTCATGAGTACGCCCTTCTCTAAAGATTCTTTTGGTGTGATGGTAGAGTAGGCTTTGAGCCCCAATTCCTTTTTCCCACCCTGATCTTTTATGTATGCAACATATGCAACAATATACATGATCTGTAGTTGTCCCATAGCAAAGCATTTAAAAACAAAACAGTACGTTACTAGGTATATAGAGGCATGCAGTTGCAAGCATTATTCTTGGACTGGCTGTGTGCTAAACTGCTGCTTTCCTCCCAACACTCTAATCTCACATCACCCAATCCAGTCTAAACCAGTAGCAGTAGGGACATGATTAATGGGAAAGGCTAGAAAGTAATAAGTAGTTCTGTGCAAATACAATCACTGTTTCTTGTGTCAAAGAGGTTCATAGGTGAAAATGAATGCAAATTAAACCTTACAGCATTTTCTAGTGTATTATCTGTTTCTGTATTTCAGTTGTTGTCATTCAGCATTGTATACAGGTGATAACTGTCATTCACATTTCATTACTTTTACATTAGGTCCTGTTAAAAAGGGAAAGGAACAGAATACAGAACGGAGTTTTTTCCTCAGAATGAAATGTACGCTGACTAGTAGAGGAAGAACTGTGAATATAAAATCAGCCACGTGGAAGGTAATTGCCCATACTCTCTGAAAGAAATGTATAAGTAAATGGCTGGTGTGGGTCTTCCGGGCTGTGTGGCCATGTTCTGGAAGTTTT